CTGCCTGCCTGCCTGCCTGCCTGCCTGCCTGCCTGCCTGCCTGCCTGTTTTCAATCCCTCTATCCATGGTGCATAGTTGTTAGAATGCAGTATTGCAGACTAACTCTGCCGGTTGCCAGCAGTTCAATTCTCACAGGCTTGAGGTTGACTCAGCCTTCCATCCTTCCAAAGTGGATAAAATGAGGACTGAAATTGTTGGGGGCAAAAGCTGACTCTGTAAACCGCTTAGAGAGGATTGTAAAGCACGGTGAAGCAGTATATAAGTCTAAGTGCTATTGCTATGTGGGTATGTGCATAATTTTGTATTTATTTATTTAGTCATGTTTACCTAGTGTATATTGGAGGTGGTGACTCTTTGAGAGCTATATGCAACGAAATTTTACTTCAGTGTATGCCAATCAGTGTACATTCAAAGTGACCATAAAGTTATTATTCTATTCCTATTTCAGACATGTTCTGTTATTCATTCTCTTAGCTTTTCGGGACTTTTATCGGCTCCTGTTTTTTTTTAAACTCAATCTTGCCTGCCCAGACAGCTACAAGGCCTCCTAACTGCATAATCTACCGAATCCACATGGCTAGTGCATAGGGCCAAAGTTGATTGTGGACAGGATCTACTCCGAGCAGGGCAGGATATGCTTCGTAGCTTTAGTTCGGGGGTCCCCAACCCCCAGGTTCATGGCATGCCAAAAACTGGTCCATGCAAACAAGCCAAATCCTATCCGTGGGATGTGGGCAGCATGATGTCCCCTCTGGTTTGTGGAAAAGCCTTTCTCCCAAGTTCCCCAAAATTTGCAGGCCACTGCTGTACATCAACCCTTCTAGCCTTACTTCCTATCAACCGATTAACGTGGGATCTGGACTCCTAAAGCTTCAGCAAGATTCCTTACCTTTTCCTCTCCCGGTTGAAGGAATGTAGTCCGAAAGGAGAGATTTCTAACTCTCTGCAGGACCTGTCAGGGTTTCGACGGATCAAAACTCTCCCCTTGTTGATTTCTTGTCAGACATTTTCGGTTTGTTGAGCAATTCGGGCAGCTGTCCAGAAATACTAGGGTGGCGACAAATGGGAGGAGCTGGATGGCCTCCAACCTTGAGTCTGGAATGCAGGCAATGGAGATAATAATTTAAGATGATGTAGCTTAGACACCAGAATGGGAACCTCATATTTACTTGCTGGTCTTTTGGATGGATGGATGAATTCTTTATTGGCTAAGTGTGATTAGACACACAAGGAATTTGTCTTGGTGCAAATGCTCTCAGTGTACATAAAAGAAAAGATACATTTGTCAAGAATTATAAGGTATAACACTTAATGATAACCATAGGGTTATATAGTCATAGGGTATATAGTAAATAGAATATAGTCATAGGGTACAATAAGCAATCAAATCATACTAGAAACAGTCAATATAAATCGTAAGGATGCAAGCAACAAAGTTAGTCATACAGTCACAAGTGGGAGGGGATGGGTGATAGGAACGATGAGAAGATTAATAGTAATAGTAGTGCAGGCTTTGTAAATAATTGGACAGTGTTGAAGGAATTATTTGTTTAGCAGAGTGATGGCGTTGGGGAAAAAACTCTCCTTGTGTCTAGTTGTTCTGGTGTGCAGTGCTCTATAGCAGCGTTTTGAGGGAAGGAGTTGAAACAGTTTTATGTCCAGGATGTGAGGGGTCTGTAGATATTTTCACAGCCCTCTTTTTGACTTGTGCTCTATACAGGTCCTCGATGGAAGGCAGGTGGGTAGTAATTGTTTTTTCTGCAGTCCTAATTACTCTCTGAAGTCTATGTCTGTCCTGTTGGGTTGCAGAACCAAACCAGACCGTTATAGAGGTGCAGATGACAGACTCAATCATTCCTCTGTAGAATTGTACGTGTATGGTTCTCCTTGTGGGCACAGCTTCTCAGTTTCCCCAAGGGCAAACTAGAGAAATACGTACAGGTAGGTCCTCGATGTATGACCACAATTGAGCCTGACATTTCTGTCACTAAGCGAGACATTTGTTAAGTGAGTTTTGCCCCATTTTAGGTCCTTCCTTGCCATAGTTAAGTGAATCACTGCAGTTGTTTAGTTAGTAACACGGTTGTTAAGTGAGCCTGGCTTCCCAGTTGACTGTGAGGTTTTAAAGAAGCGATTTGTCTGAAGTGGCATAGGATTTCCTGAGCTTGAGCAGGGGCCTAGTCTAGAAGACCTTCAAGGCCCCTTTCAGCCCTATGTTTTTATGCTTTCTATGTTTTTTCTATTTTTTTTTAAAATGGATATTTCTTACATTTAAGTCCTCTTTCATTTATTGAATATAATTCCCCAAAAACATTTTTCTCCCTGTGACTTCTTTTCAGTCCTGCTGTGTTTATAGGACAAATTTTATTTGAGAATAAAATCGAAAGATGATTTGGTCTGAAATGGTATGCGGTCTTCCTGCTAAAACAGAGGGTTGGACTAGAAGACCTCCAAGGTCCCCCTTCGAACTCTGTTATATTGTTACTGTTGCCTTTGACTTGAAGTTTGTCCAAATAATTCTGGACTATTTAATAACCACTGGATTTCCTGAATCTTCCTGGGTTGATTGCTTGTAACTTCTGGTTACTGTGTCCATTCTTGCTGGCTACATGATAGTGTTGTTGTTGTTTTTTGCTCTTGCAACAGATTTGGGATTCATAAACTGAAATACCAGTAAATATTTGTGTGACTTCTCTCTTTTCCCCCAGTTGTTCAGCCTGGCGTTTTAGCTATTCCAAAAGGAAGAAGAGCAAAGGATCTTTGGCAGACTTCCATCCTTTCAGAGATGAAAATGAAAAAGACCAAGAATTGTTTGTGATCAGAACTGTTAGTGCAAAACACTTGAAAAGTGAAATAGATCTTTCTGATGATCTGGGCCATCTTAAAGGGTGGAAGATAGCTGTGACTGGCACATTAAAAGCAAAGAGTATAGGAAAACTCTAAAATTAAATATGATTTAATTCACACTGGTTGCTAGGGATTTTTTTTAGCTATAATCCAATTTTTCTGTGTGTGTGTGTGTGTGTGTGTGTATCTATATATCTCTATATCCATCTATATATCTATCTCTATCTATTTACCTATCTATATCTATCTATCTATCTATCTATCTATCTATCTATCTATCTATCTATGTGTTTTAAAGCTCTTCCCCACTACCCTTCTCTCTTGAATACTGTTACCTTAAAAAAAACAATGCAGAAATAAGATTATGATATGACAATTCATTATCTTAGTGTGGGTCGAGGAGTTAAATTTGAAGGTGACCTTGAATAATATCTACTGCTGTTTTAAAATGTTTTCTTTCTTTTAAACAGGGAAGAATGAGTACGACCTCCTTGTTATCGGAGGAGGCTCTGGTGGATTGGCTTGTGCTAAAGAAGGTTCGTACATGGGATTTGTGGTGTGGGATTGTCATCCTCAGATGGGAAATATAACTAGAGAAGTTAACTTTACTTGTTTGTTTGTTGGGAAAATTTATTTTGCCACTTACTCGCTCATGCTGACTCAGGTTGGCTTACAGGAAATAAAAACAGAACATAAAAGAAATAAAAATAATAAAAAATAAAAATAATAAAATAACCCCCACTCGGGTGACAACACACATTCATACCAGACATTTAATGGGCTCCAGCCCGCTCTGGATTCTCCAGGCCAGCTGGCAGAATCTCAAAAAATGGTAAGAGTGCGGGCAGTCTAATGTCCAGGGGAAGCACGGGTATAGAGCTAGTAAACCTATATTACCAGAATCTTGCACGTCTAAAAGGACATTTCTTTCCCTATGCTCTCCCTTATCATATTTATGGTGGCATCTCTAGTCCAAGGCTGTTTTAGCATAATGCCATGGGGTGGAGTGAAACCTGGACAGGTTTTCAAGTTTGTAGATGGGATTTGTTGTCATCCTTAGATAGGAAATATACTAGAGAAATTAATTTTACTTGTTTGTTTGCAAAATCTTGCAAGTCTAAAAGGATAATTCCCCCCCCCCATCACCTTTACAGCTTGAGAAATTAGGGAGGGTTCTTTCTGAGCATCATTCTCCACCTACTATACAGCTGTGAGCTAAGCAGTCCATTATCTTGGCAGCATCTTTCTTCCCAAGCATCTCTTTCCCACGTACCACTTCAGCTCTTCCTTTACAGGCCAAGAAACTAGGGAGGGTCTCTACTGAATTTCTTGGCCTTTCCAACACCCAGCTGTGGACTATGCTCTTATCATTCCTATGGTGGCATCTCTGGCTGTTTAGGCATCATGTCATGGGATGGAGTGAAACTTGGGCAGGTTTTCAAGTTTCTTGTTAACACTGCCCAGCATTAAAGCTTGTTGTTGCTACTTTGGCAAACTGATTGGGGTGCCTGCCAGCTGAGAAATACCTATTTACTCGAAGGCAAATAGGGGAAGTTGAATCTGTCTCCTTGCGAAAAGGAACTCTTTATTTTTCTGTCCACAATTCTTCCAGAACTGTTATATTTGCTGCTAACCACTAGAGGCACTGTGGGACGGGTTTTATTCCTGTACTGGGATGCAAGGCCCAAAGCGGTCCTAAAGTGCCTCCTACTGGTCAGTAGCAAATCTGTCAACTTGCAAGAAAAAGTTGGAAACCACCCCTAGGCAAGGGGGATTTTGGGGACAACAAATAGAAGATGCTTATCTAAAGCTTCAATTGTCTTTGGGCCAGTTTGAAGAGCATTGCTCTGACTGTACCCTTTTCTTCAAACATGTCTGTAACTTTTATTTCTCTTTGTTTAAGCTGCCCAGTTTGGAAAGAAGGTAGCTGTCCTAGACTATGTGGATCCTTCTCCGAGAGGTGAGAAACAATCTGAGCGAATTGCATAACTCTGTCGTCGTTGTGACCTTGACTGTCTAAAGCTGGCTGGGGATTCTGGGAGTTGAAGTCCACCAATCTTAAAAGTTACTCAAGGTTGGATGCCCCTGACTTAGAGTGATGTAAGTATAGGTAGTTCTCTCTCAGCCAGTCCTTGAATATTGAAGATTTGTCCTGAAATGAATACAAACTCCAGGTCCTTTGTAGTGCAATGATGGTTTATTCATTAGATCAGCAAACAACAAACACTCCTATCAGTCAAGAAAGGTTAAAAGCCAGGCCAGGTTAGTGTTGGGTTTGAATTTGCTCCCTTTCCTTTATTACCATTTTCATGAGACACACCCCACCACATCCAGGTCTATACACAATTCTAGTTCTGGCCATGCCTAACCCATTATCCCTAAATGCTATTAACCCTATGACATGTCTACATCCCTAATCTATTCCGACCCTCGCTAATTGATCCCCACCTGGTGCCACCTTCACCATGTTTTAACCTAAAGCTTAATTACCACCTATATGTGCCCCAACCCCCTCTAACAATATGCACCACATCAATGCATGAAAAAAGCCACTTCCAGCAACCCCGCAGTTGCTTCAGAATCCATCCTGTTACCCCGCCGTTGTTGCAGAATCCATCCTCAGCTCTGCTGAGTCATTCCAAAGCGACCCTCAACACCATCGGCCAGCATGCAAGCAGAAATACAGATCTGGCAGCAGCGGAGATAAGGTGACATTCTCTACCGCCAGCTGACTTGCTCCAAGGCGTGTTCAGGGCTGACGGGCTCCGTAGCAAACTCAGAGCCCGACAGCTCTCAACTTAGGACCCACAAATGGAGCCCAAAATTTCTGTTTCTCAGTGAGAAATTTATTAAGTGAGTTTTGCCCTGTGTTAAGACTTTTCTTGTTGCATTTGTTAAGTGAATCGTTTGCGGTGGTTAAGTTAGTAACACAGTTCTTAAGTGAATCTAGTTGCCCCCTTGGCTTTGCTTGTTCTTTCTCCAAGATCATAACGGTAATGGGACATTGCTCAGGATGTGAGAAAAAAGCTCCACCCACGAATGAGAGTGTGGCCTTTTCTCTTCTTCAGGAACCAAATGGGGGCTTGGTGGGACGTGTGTGAACGTGGGTTGTATTCCAAAGAAGTTGATGCACCAAGCGGCTCTCCTGGGACATTCGGTCCGAGATGCCCAACATTATGGCTGGAACATACCCCGTCATATCAGTCACGACTGGTAAGACAACTCTCCTGTCTGTTTTTTGCAACTTACCTGTGCATAAACCCTTCAAAAGAACCTAGAAGAACTAGGAAGATTTGTTTCAGAAGAGAAAAGCTATGAGATGTTGTCTTCTATTGGGTTGGTCTGTGGATTCATCCATTTGCCTAGAAGGAAGAGGATTTTTGCCCCAAATAATTTCACTTTCAAATATGAAGATTTTAGATTTAATAACAATATGCTGACCTGGGACAATTTTCTTTCTTTGAGTTAAGAGCATTTAACCATTTGCATTAAAAAAGTCTATATTTTCTATTTTCCTCTTTTTGTTTTTCATACTTTGACTGTCTTGAAAAATTCTAATTAAAAAGAAAACCCCACAGCTACTTGTAGTTGTTATTTTTCCACCCAACGCCCATCCCTTCCCGTCCTTTAAATCCATTTTAAATCCCTTAAATCAAGGGTCTTCAAACTTGGCAAGTTTGAGACTTGTAGAATTCAACTCCCAGTATTCCTGAGGTAACATGACTGGGGGAGGAATTCTGGGAGTTGAAGTCCACAAGTCTTAAAGCTGTCAAGTTGGAAGACCCCTGCCTTAAATCCATTCAGCTTTGTAATTTTTTTCTCTCTTTTTGACTGCCAGGTCTGTGATGGCCAAAGGAGTTCAAAACTACGTCAAATCCTTGAATTGGGGACACAGGTTACAGTTACAAGATAAGTAAGTGGCCCTTTCTTTCCTGTGCTTCCAACACGATTTGTTTTTTGAAAAGTTAGTGTAAAGATATGTAAAGAGTTCAGGGGAACATTACCTTCTCACCAACGAGGAAGTGTGTTACTCCCCAGTTGTATCTGGCCTTCTAATGGTAATTTTGCACACCCAAATCCTCCTTGTTTATTATTACGCATGTTAGTTTCTCGTTATCTACTTGTAATTTTATTGCTATTCCATTTTATTTGTTTCGTTTAAAAGTCATGTATTTCTTTTATTTCTCATCCTTTTCTAATGATTGTAATCATAGCAAAGGAAGCAAAGATAGTGCCCAGGGGGATAGGCGCCTTGGATGCAATCCCAAAACATCTGAATAGCATCGGTAATTAAACAACAGCAGCAAAATCTGCCTATCCCAGGTCCTTGATCTAATGCTTAATCGAGAGTAAAACACACAGAACTGGCTTTCAAAAGCCTCGGATATAGAAGTTCAGTGGATCTGTATCTATTATTAATACTGCTTTTACTGTATTTATGTTCTTTTCATTTTCTTTCTCCATCTCCTCTCTATCTCCTCCTCCACTTCCTCCTCCTTCACCCTCTTCTCGTATTCTTTCTCCTTCTCTATCCCTTCCTCCATGTTCTCCTCCTATTTCTCCTCTCCTATTTCTTCTTCTCCACCTCATCTATCCCTTCTTCCATCTCCCCCTCCTCTTCCTTCTGCTTTTCCACTTTTCCTGTTCCTCCTCCTCCATCTCATCTGCCCTTCCTCTTCCTTCTCCTCCTCCCTCTTCCCCTATTCTTCTCTATCCCTTCTTCCATCTTTTCCTCCTCCTATTTTTCCATTCCTCTCCTATTTCTCCTTTTCTGCCTCATCTATCCCTCCTTCCATCTCCTCCTCCTCCTCTTCCTTCTGCTTCTCCACTTTTCTCTTATACCTCCTCCTCCATCTCCTATCCATTCTTCCACCTCCTCCTCCTCTCTTCTCCAATTCTTCCTCCTCCTTCTCTATCCCTTCTTCCATCTCCTCCTTTTATTTCTCCACTCCTATTCCTCCTCCTCCACCTCATCTGTCCCTTGTTCCATCTCCTCCTCCACCTCCTCCTCTTCCTTCTGCTTCTCCACTCTTTTCCTATTTCTCCTCCTCCACCTCATCTGCCCCTTCTTCCACCTTCTCCTCTTCTCCACCTTCATTCTCTTCTCCTATTCTTCTTCCTCCTCCATTCTCCTTTGTCCTGTCTTTCATCTCCTCCTCCAGAAAGGTCAAATACTTCAATCTGAAAGGCAGCTTTGTGGATGCACACACCATCCGTGGGGTGGCAAAAGGAAACAAGGAGGTAAGAAGGCTGTAACCCCTCTACCCCTAATCCGATCCCAACAAGCTGTTAAGGTTGTTCCTTCCGAGTTTTGATTTGGCATGTCATTTAAACCTAGGCAGGAGTGTCTACGAGGGTTTCATTCAGAAGTTAAGATGATGTTTAAAAAGTTAAGCACTGTCCCTTGGGGAGGTGTGCCAGGTGGGACTTCATTTACATTAAATGCAGGTGCCACTTTTGACTATTTTGACAGATTTCCCCCTCTGACACCACTGAACTAGGTGGTTAGCCCTGGTTTCTGGATGAGCCCAGCCCCTGTGCTTTACCTGGAATAAAAATCCCTTTTAGTCATCAAAAAAGCACAACAAAGAACGTTCTTTCTGCGCCAACTCAGAAAGCTCAAACTGCCCAAGGAGCTGCTCACCCAGTTCTACAGAGGAATTATTGAGTCTGTCATCTGCACCTCTATAACTGGTTTGGTTCTGCAACCCAACAAGACAGATACAGACTCCAGAGAGGAATTAGGACTGCAGAAAAAACAATTGCTACCAACCTGCCTTCCATGGAGGACCTGCATACTGCACAAGTCAAAAAGAGGGCTGTGAAAATATCTACAGACCCTTCACACCCTGGACATAAACTGTTTCAACTCCTTCCCTCAAAACGATGCTATAGGGCACTGCACACCAGAACAGCTAGACACAAGGACATTTTTTCCCCAAATGCTATCACTCTGCTAAACAAATAATTCCCTCAACATTGTCAAACTGTTTGCTAAGTCTGCATTGCTATCATTATTACTATTAATCCTCCCATCCTTCCTTTCACCCATCTCTTCCCACTTATGACTGTAACCTTGTTGCTTGTATCCTAATGATTTTTATTGACTGTTTTCCAGTATGATTTGATTGCTTATTGTACCCTGTGACTATTATTAGGTGTTGTACTTTATGATTCTTGACTCTTGACGAATGTATCTTTTCTTTTATGTATACTGAGAGCATTTGCACCAAGACAAATTCCTTGTGTGTCCAATCACACTTGGCCAATAAAGTATTCTATTCTATTTCTCTTCTCTTCTCTTCTATTTCTATTCTATTCTATTCCTTTTCTCTTCTCTTCTACTTCTATTCTTATTGTATGCTATGACTATTATAAATTGTTGTACTTTATGATTCTTGACTCTTGATGATTGTATCTTTTCCTTTTATGTATACTGAGAGCATTTGCACCAAGACAAATTCCTTGTGTGTCCAATCACACTTGGCCAATAAAGCTATTCTACTCTACTCTACTCTACTCTACTCTACTCTACTCTACTCTACTCTACTCTACTCTACTCTACTCTATTATTATATGAGTCAGATTGTTAACCTATAAATGCCATACTTTGGGAGATAACCATGTTCTCCCAGTATGACATGAAGACACACGATGGTCTGGAGATGTTTGGTGTAAATTCCTCTTCCTGTTTTTATTTTTATTTTTAATTATTCCTAGACCCTGCTCACCGCAGACCACGTAGTTCTTGCCACTGGTGGCAGACCAAGATACCCCAGAGAGGTAACCTTAGCTTGTTCCTACTTGGCATTAACCTGAGTTAATTTCAGGGTAGCTTTTTGGCTTATCTGTGGTTAAAGATCGATTTACAGAAGGGTTTCTCAATCTTGGTCACTTGAAGATGTGTTGACTTCTACTCCCAGAATTCCCCAGCCAGCATTTGTGGGCTTAACACTCCCAGAATTCGCCGGCCATGCAGACATTGCAAAGGTTTTTTAGAAGAACAAAACCAATCAACTCCCAAAGCAATTGCAATATCAAGTGCAATAGATTTAATGCATTTAATTCTTCATACAGATTGATCTTTACCTATCCATCTCTTCTATGAGTAATTCCAAAACATACTCTCATATGATGAACGGTTGAGGGAGCTAGGTATGTCTAGTCTGATGAAGAGAAAGATCAGGGGTGACAGGATAGCCGTCTTCCAATATTTGAGGGGGGTCTCACAGAGAACGGGGGGGGTTGATTTATTCTCCAAAGCACCAGAGGGCAAGACAAGAAGTAGCAGATGGAAGCTTATCAAAGAGAGCCAAGCTGGAACTAAGGAGAAATTTCCTGACAGTTTAGAACAATGAATCAGAGGAATAACTTGCCTCTCACGGTTGTGGTGCTCCATAATTGCAGGTTTTCACAAATAGACAAGCTCTAACTCTAGACTCGAGCTTCGCTACGAAACTATGTGATCGGGCTTAGTTTTTGGGGAGGAAAATAAGGGGGGGTGGGGAATTCTGCTTCTGTCTACCAGCATCCTTCGGTATTCATCTGGCTAGCGTCCCTTCCAGCCCCATTATTCTATTTCTTCTTGTTTTCAGGTTGCAGGAGCTCAAGAATTTGGGATTACAAGTGACGACATTTTCTGGCTTAAAAGATCCCCTGGAAAAACGTAAGTCCTTTCTATCTAGCACTGTTTGGGCAGGGGAAATTAAACGTGATTTTCATCGTTAAAACAGGCTGGTCTTGGCTTCCTCATTTAACATTTGGCTGCTAAATAGAATTATCTTTTGAGGCACGTGTTTCTCCAAAGCCTGTGATGTCATATCAAGCCTCCCCACCCCTCCCCCCTCCAAATTGTGTGCCCGGATATTTGTGTTTTTTAAAAAAAGGTTTTGTGCCCAAATGAGGAAGTTAAAAGAAACAGGCACCACAGAATAAATACAAATTAATACGGACTGATCCTTTTAAACTTAATTTTCATTGTGTGCGTGTGCCTCTTCTTCCTCTGAATATACACTTTTTCCCTTTGGCTTTTTAAATTTATCCACTGGCTTTATAATTTCAACAGAGCCAGAAATGTAGGTTCCAATTCTGGATAGAAAAGTCTGTGATTTATAGATGGGAACAGAGATGTGTGTATCCAAATAATCTGTAGTTATGTACTGTATGTTTCTGTGGAGTAACCTGTAGCAATCCCAACTCGGTGTCCAATTTCCCGGCTGTGTGAAGTTTGTTGCATTTGTGTGAACCACGAGAGGGCAGCAAGGGTTTATGTTACAGAATTGTCTTTCTTTCATTGCTGTGGTATCTTTGCTATTTTGGAGGGAAATACTCTTAGTATCCCTATAGTCTGACTGGGTTAAATGCACAAAGCAGGAATGGAACTTCCCTTCCCTTCCCTTTTCATTTACTTTCTTTCCTTTCTTTTCTTTATTGCTTTTCCCATTCCTTTTTCTTTTTCTCCTCCTTCTCCTCTCCTGCTTTGTAAAACCTTAGTAAGACCATACCTGCAATATTGCATCTAGCTTTTGGTCACAAAAACAATGTTGAGATCTTGGAAAAAGCGCAGAGAAGAGCAACTAAGATGATTAATGATCTGGAGACTAAAACACATGAAGAACAATTGCAGGATTTGGGTTTGGCTAGTCTAGAGAAAAGAAGGACTACCGGGGACATGATAGCAGTATTCCAGGTTTTGAGGGGCTGCCACAAAGAAGAGGGGGGTCAGTTTATTTTCCAAAGCACCACAAGGCAGGACAAGAAACAACGGATGGAAAATAATCAAGGAGAGAAACAACCTGGAATTCAGGAGAAACTTCCTAGCAGTGAGGACACTCAACCAGTGGAACAGCTTGTCTTTAGAAATTATGGGTGCTTCATCACTGGAGGTTTTTAAGAAGAGACTGGACGGCCATTTGTCTGAAACGATATAGTGCCTGTGGCTTGAGCAGGGGGCTGGACTAGAAGACCTCCAAGGTCCCTTCCCGCTCTAGTCTGAATTGTAAATTCGTTCGGAGGCCCTGATGTATCCCAGAGAAGTCAGGCTGTTATGTGTGTCTGTTAAAAGAGCTAAGAATTCAGAGATTTCTCTGAAATTGGGCTCCAGCTTCGTCTCTTCTGTTGCATGTTGTAACAGTGTCATGATAGAAGCTCCCTGTTATTTATACTTTGCATTCTTCAGCTTCAGTCAAAATAAGCCCGAAGGGGTACAGTAGCAAGGCTGTGCTTTTGTCAACCGTGTTTTGCAGCCGACGGGGAGAAAGAGGCACTCGGAGTTTGCATTGAGTAACTGTTCCATCAAGGGAGTCTTCCCTCCTTCCCCCTTTTCGGTCCTTCTTCGTTTTGTTTTATTTAATCTGTATGGATTGTTGCTTTGCAAATGGCCTTCCTTGCAGTTGGTCAATGGCTGCCTGGAAGAGAGAGGCTTACCCCAAGTTTTGTCATGTGAAGGTGGCTCGTCCGGCTGTGGTCCAGCATTTTGCAATCGTAGTTCATACCATTTAGAACGATAGATATAACAGAATGTTGAAATTGGAAGGGACCTTGGAGGTCTTCTAGTCCAACCCCCTGCCTAGGCAGGAAAGCCTGTATCATTCCAGATGAATGCTTGTCTAGTCTCTTCTTAAAAGCCTCCAGTGTTGGAGCCCCCACAACTTCTAGAGGCAAGGAGTTCCACTGGTTAATTGTTCTCACTGTCAGGAAATTTCTCCTTAGTTCTAGGTTGCTTCTCCCCTTGGTTATTTTCCTTTTTACAAAAAAAATAACTTTATTCGATTTTCAAAAAATGTTAAAAACATAAAATAAAATTATATACATCATTGTGTCAATGTCAAGAGATCGTTTACATCTCCTTATCATGTTTCTATACATACTTTCTTGCATTACCATTGCATATTCTTTCCCTTATTCTTATTACAAATTTATATATTTTCATCCTATATTTCTATTTTCTTCACTGTAGATACATACATTTCTATACATAATTTCCTATTTGCCCAATTACAACTTTAATTTATTTTTATTCTTAAGCCGTGTGTACCAAGCGTCCCAGGTTATGTAGTATGTTGATTCCTCTTTATCTTTCAATCTTAGTGTCAGCCTGTTCATCTCTGTACAGTCTAATATCTTATTTATGACTGCTGCCTCTGGTGGTACATTGGTTGGTTAGTTTCCATCCATTGCTTCTTGTCCTTCGGGTGCTTTGGAGAATAGCTTGACTCCCTCTTCTTTGGGGCAGCCCCTTAGATATTGAAGGACTGCCATCATGTCATGTCACCCCTAGTCCTTCGTTTCATTGAACGAGACATCCCCAATTCCAGCAACTGTTCTTTATATGTTTTAGCCTCCAGTCCTCTAATCCTCTTGGTTGCTTTTCTCTCTGCTCTTTTTAGAGTCTCAACATCGTCTCAACGAAGACGATTAAAGGCCTGGAGATTAAAATTTATGAAGAACGGTGGCAGGATTTGGGATTGGCTAGACTAGAGAGAAAAGAAGGACTAGTGGGGACATGATAGCAATCTTCTAGTATTTGAGGGGCTCCCACAAAGAAAAGGGGGTCAGCTTATTTTCCCAAGGGCCAGAAGGCAAAACAAGAAGCAACGGATGGAAACTAACCAAGGAGGGAAGCAAGATGGAATTAAGGAGAAACTTCCTAACAGCGAGGACAATTAACCAGTGGAACAGAAGTTCAGAAGTTCAGAAATCGTGGGCGCTACATTACTGGAGGTTTTAAAGAAGAGAGTGGACAGTCACGTGTCTGAAAAGCTATAGGGTCTCCTGCTTGAGCAGGGGGCTGGACTAGAAGACCTCCAAGGTCCCTTCCATCTGATTCTGATTCCAGAATCATGGTGGCCCAGGAGGTTGGACCTCCAAAAGTCCCTTCCCGCTCTCTGCTGATGGATTGTCTGCCGAAGATCCGTGTGTGGTGGCTTCAAGGTAAAATACCCGCGGGCGCATTCTTTTCCCCTGTAGGGATGACAGCCCACAGCCTCCCTCGAGAAGCACATCATTCTCTCCTCCTCCTCCGAAATGGAATTACATTATTAGTACCTGTAAGGATTAGCGGTGACATCGGCATTGTCTCGCTGACTTGGCCACCCGCGTTTTTAGTTTGTCTTCTGGAGGCACTGTCACTTCGGCGCACGGCGCATTCTTTCCATTTTCTCTTTTGGCAAAGGGTGGGCTGGTGGGGGTGAGATCTCTGGGAAGGGGGGTTGAGGGGGTGGAATCCTGCTTGCAAATTATCCGTAGTCAGTGCGGTGGGGGGGGGGACCTCACCTCCATTTTCTGCTGTCGAGGGAGCTGCGGTTAAAAAAAAAACACATTTAAAAAAACAAAACGTTTTGTTTGCAAAAGGAATTCTTTCTCCCGCTAGTTTGTCTTATTTTCTTTCGGCTCTTTAGGAAAAAGTTTGTTTATTTATTTATTTCGACACGCTCCAACTTGCCTCCAGGTTTTAGGCCTCTGATGGTCCTTCTTATAGGTGGGGGTCCACCTTTGGGGGTGCTGTTAAAGGGTTGTTCTGGTATCTGAGGTGATTTTTTTCTTCTTCTTTCTTTCTTTTAACCATTGGGCTGCTAAAATTCTGGAGCGCGAGGATAGGTTTTGAGAGGGGCCTTTTTTCCCCCCTGCTGCTCGGATGGATGGATCACGTGCCCTCAAGAATATACAATCATAGCGCTGGAAGGGGACCTTAGAGATCTTCTAGTCCACCCCCTAGCTCAAGGCAAGAGAGCAGGGTTTTCAAGAGAACAGCCTTTGAGGTTTACAGGTGAACAGAGTTGAAAGGGATCTTGTAGGTCATCTAGTCCAACCCCTCCCCGTGCCCAAGCAGGAGACCCTACCCCATTTCTGACAAATGGCGGTCCAGTCTCTTCTTGAAAGCTTCCAGTGATGAAGCTCCCACAACTTCCAAAGGCAACTTCTATTCCATCAGTTGATTGTTCTCATTGCCAGAAAATTTCTCCTTATTTCCAGGTTGAATCTCTCCTTGTTCAGTTTCCATCCATTATTATTCCATAGCTGGCCTTCAGATGCTTTGGAGAATAGCTTGACCCCCTTCCTCCTCTCTGTGGCAGCCCCTCAAATATTGGAAGGCTGCTCTCCTGTCTCCCCTGGTCCTTCTCTTACCTAGACTAGCCAGGCCCAGTTCCTGCAACCGTTCATTGTATGTTTTAGTCTGCAGGCCTTTGATCATCTTAGATAGATTCAGATGAACAGAGTTGGAAGGGACCTTGTAGGTCATCTAGTCCAACCCCCTCCTCCCCAAGCAGGAGACCCTACACCGTTTCTGACAGAAGGCAGTCCAATCTCTTCTTGAAAGCCTCCAGTGATGAATCTCCTACAACTTCCAAAGGCAACTTCTGTTCCGTCGATTGATTGTTCTCACTGTTAAGCCTGGATTCCCCAACAGGTGTTAAGGAAAACAAACTAAACAGAACGTGCAGCGAAGTCAGATAGGAAGACAGGTAAATGTGTGAGATAAGTTTTCTAGTTAACACGCAGTAAAAATACAGATACGCTTGTGCTATCAAAATTATAATTTATTCCATTTAAGAATTATAGCATAGTCATTATAAACAGTCCATTAGTCATATACCAAATTCAGTCAAGTCTTGTCGAGGATACTCTAATTGCAAAGTCCGTGTCGAATAGCCAGTGTCAGTACACATATAATAAATCTGTCCAAAACTTATCTTCTCTCCGTTGAGAAATATCTTCAAAGTAATCCAACACTTCTTCTCCTCCCCGATCCAGCAAGAAAGCAGTCTTCAATAAGCCAGCCAGTAAGAGCCAGAGAGTGCCTTGCTGCTTATATAGTACTTTTACAGCTGCACCCTTAATTACATTCCTTTAGCTTAAAGTCACATACACTTTATCTGACAAACCATGATTCATCATTTTATTATCTTTACCCAAAACAGTTAGGGTAAAACAATGTTATCCCTAACACTCACTGTCAGGAAATTTCTCCTGCTTTCCAGGTTGAATCTCTCCTTGGTCAGTTTCCATCCATTATTCCTTGTCTGGCCCTTCAGGTGCCTTGGAAAATTGAGATGATACAGAAGAGCTAACCATGACACAACCGAAACTCCCTTAGGACTGAAGGTTCTATTATTCAGCGCAGACTCACGGCAAGCAAATTTGAGAGACTGAGCTAGCCGATGGCAGACAGATAGATCACTGAATGATTCTGTGAGCAACTCAATCTGCCTGCCTGCTTTGCCTGATTTTGGGTAAAAGTTGCTCTTTTTTTTAAATAAAAAATTCAATATTTATATAAATATTTATAATATTTACATACAAGCCATGCCCGGCCAGTCACATGACCACCAAGCCACACCCACCAATTAGGCCACACCCACAGAACCGGTTAGTGGTCCCTGGGATTTAAAATTATGAATTTGGTGGTCCCTGAGGTCCAAAAGGTTGGTGACCCCTGCGCTAGTCCAACCCCCTGTTCAAGGCTGGAGAGCTTATACCATCCAGTCAAATGGTTGTCCAACTCTTCTTGAAAGCCTCCAGTGATGGGGTACCCACACCTTCTGGAGACAAACTGTCCCACTGGTTAATTGTTCGTAGTGTGACTTTGTAATGAAGTGATTTTTTTTTTGCTGTGCCTCATAGTAGAGCTGGTTACACCTCACTTAACAACTGTCTTTCTTAGCATTGGAAATTTTGGGCTCAAATATGGTCATAAGTCGAGGACTGCCTGGGCTTTGGCTATGATCCCTGTCTGAACTTTAATAAAAACTGTTTGAAGAGGAAGTAGTTGTTAAGCCTGAATTCCCCAATGAGTGTTAAGGAAAACAAACTAAACAGAATGTGTAGCGTAGTCAGATAGGCAGACAGGTAAATGTGTGAGATAAGTTTGTATTTTAGTTAACATGCAGTAAAAAGCAGATACGCTTGTGCTATCAAAAATATAGTTTATTCCATTAGGAATTATAGCATAGTCAAAATAAACGGTCCATTAGTCATGTATCATTTCAGTCAGTCCAGTCGGGTATACTCAATTTGCAAAGTCCGTGTTGAATAGCCAATGTCAGTTCACTTACAATAAATCAGTCCGTATTATCTCTTCTCTCCCTTGAGAAATCAACACTCCTTTCTCTCCTCCGTTCCAGTAAGGAAAAACGCAGTCATCAATCCATCCAGTAATTAGGGATCATTAAGCGAGAGAGAGAGAGAGAGAGAGAGAGCTGCAATTGACTTGCTTCTTTTATGGTGCTTTTACAACCACACCCTTAATTACATTCTTGTAGTTAAAGTTACACACACTTTAACCAACAAACCATGATAACTTATTTATTATTTTTACCCAAACCAGTTAGGGTAAACAATGTTATCCCTAACAGTAGTCAATCGTTTCACTTCTGATCATAGGCACCAACTTAATTTGATTTTTGATTTCTTTTTTTCTCTCTCTCTGTTCCTTCAACAGGTTGGTTGTTGGCGCCAGCTGTATCTTTTAAACTAAGTTGCATTATTGTGCTGTTGTGGTGGTCCTCTCATTTTAGATAGCTTGCGACGCTTCCTGCATGTCGACATTGTCGTCAAAAACAGCACCACAACAGATTTATTCAGTGGTCCAAAGACATGTCTCCATTAGCAATTCTGTCAGGCTTCCTTGCCTTTTAAAAATTGGTACGTGTGAGAGCCGGATTGTATATTTGTGTTAGTTGTTTGGACGGGCCACCAGCCACATAAATTTAAAGCCTTCACACTTCTCAAAACCCCATAGAACCGTAATGGTGAACCTATGGCACAAAGCCATGCGTGTGGGCATGCAAGTCCCAGGCAAACTTACCTCACTACGCATGTGCGCGCCTCCCAGCTGATTTTCGGGCCTTTTTCGGCCTCCCAGATATTCGAGGGAAGCCTCTGCAGCCTTTGGAGGCCGAAAAAAAAGGCCCATTTTGTCACTTCCTGTATTTCCGGAAATACCGGAAGTGATGAAACAGGCCCATTTTTCGGCCTCCAAAGGCTGCAGAGGCTTCCCTCGAGCCTCTGGGAGGCTGAAAAAGGCCCGAAAATCAGCTGGGAGGCACGTACATGCGCAGTGCGGGTAAGGGGGTGGCATAAGGGGGATCGTGCGTGCATGCACAGGGGGTATGTGGGGGGGCGTACATTGCCTTCTCTCGGTGCTGGCACACGCAATTTTTGGCACAGGAGCCCAAAAAGGTTAGCCACCACTGCCATAGAAGGTCAGATCTTCATTTGCTTTACAGTACAGTTTTGTTTCCATGCTGGTTTTTAAAAAAATTTAAACAAAACCATCTACCACATTTAATGGGTCATTTCCAGCCAAAAATAGGCATAGAATTGTTTCTTTAGAGCAAACGTGACAGCTTTAAGACTTGTGGACTTCAACTCCCAGAATTCCTCCTCCAGTCCTGTTAGCTCAGGAATTCTGGGAGTTGAAGTCCACAAGTCTTAAATCGGCCAAATTTGAAGACCCTTGTGATAGATGATAGATACATACATAGATAGATGATCGATCGATAGGTAGGTAGGTTGATAGGTAGGTAGGTACAGAGAGAGAGAGAGATGATAGATAGGTGATAGGTGATAGATCAGGGGTCTTCAAACTTGACAGCTTTAAGACTTGTGGACGTCAACTCCCAGAATTCCTCCTCCAGTCCTGTTAGCTCAGGAATTCTGGGAGTTGAAAGTCCACAAGTCTTAAACTTGCCAAGTGTGAAGACCCTTGATCTACTCTATTTATATATTCTATCTCTCTCATCTATTCTACCTCTCTTTCTACCTCCTCATCTATTCTATTTTTCCTCTCTCCCTCTTATCTATCTATTCTATCTCTCTCTCTTTCTCTCTATCTATTCTACCTCTGTTTATCTATTCCAGGGGTCTTCAAACTTGGCAGCTTTAAGACTTGTGGACGTCAACTCCCAGAATTCCTTCTCCAGTCCTGTTAGCTCAGGAATTCTGGGAGTTGACGTCCGCAAGTCTTAAAACTTGCTAAGTTTGAAGAGCCTTGCTTTCGAGTTTGGATTTGGTCTAAGCGTTAAATTATTCACATGCCTGGCACAAATATTGTCTGCTTCTGCGTCAAATTTAAAAAAAAACCAGAGATTTTGAGCCAGGAAGAACAAAATGACCGCTCACAAACCGAGACACACTGAACTGCACAATGGCACATCCAAATAGATGGTTTTTTTTCTTTTGAAGATGTTTCACTTCTCATCCAAGAAGCTTCTTCAGCTCTAACCGGACGGTGGGGAAGGGAAGGATTTATATTCCTTGCAGACAGCTGGTCATTTGAATCCTTTTAGAGGGTCGTTGTGGCCACTTGGAGGTTTATCTGTGTCCTCAGAGTCACCTGAGTAGTGCAAATGGTACGCAACGGGCTGTTAAGCGAGGACAACCTGCGGAGCTTTTCTTTAAAGCTCCCAAGTTGCAAATGAATGTTAGAACATAAAAGAGATTTCGGCCTATCCGGATGCAATGGAACGCTTGCAGATTTTCTCGTAAATCTTGCTCTTTCTACTTTTCTCCCTCTTTCTCTTTCTCAAAAGAAATCCAGCGGAATTATTTTTCCTTGATCCAGACACTTGCTAGATGTTTCCCTCGAGTGTGGCGGCTTTCTCACCGGCCTTGGATTGGATGCTACCGTAATGATCAGGAGCATCCCGCTTCGAGGATTTGACCAGGTAGCTTCCGCTGCTTCTGCAGGGGGTCCTCGTCTTACAACAGTTCGTTTAACGACTGTTCCAATGGCACTGAAAAAAAGGGGGACTTAGGGCTGTTTTTCACACCTCCGAGCATGGTATTCAGACCGTTGGCAACTGACTTGTACTTATGACTGTTGCAGTCTTTCCCAGGGTCACACAATCCCCTTTTTGATACCTTCTGGCAAGCCAAGACCATATGGTGGGGGAGCCAGGTTCACTTAACAACTGGGTGACTAGCTTAACAATGGCACTGATTCGCTTAACAATTGCAGAAAACGGGGCAAAACTCACTTAAGAAATGTCTCGCTTTTTAAAAAAAAAAAATTAAACATAACAATTTAAAAACATTGAACATAGTGGAGTCGTTTTGACATAACTTTTGGTCATCATTCTAGTGAAATATAATAGAATATAGATCTTAAATACATCTATACACACACACACATACACACACACACACACACACACACACACACACACACATATATACATTTATTCATCCTTATTTACATCTTCCAACACTCTTAGTGTGATGACCCAGGGCGTGGCACAAAAGCAACCAAGTCACAAAAATAGGTAAAGTCCCTTTAACGCCTCCAACTTGGCCCCCAGTGTCCAGTTATCCTCGGCTGGAGATCAAACTCTTCCCAAAAACAGTCTACAAAGGGAAGAAATGCAGTCCGAACCCAAAGTACAGATAAATTAGAAATAAAAAAACCAACACAAACCACGCTGCAGTAATTAACACGACAGGCCAGGATAATAAATTGCAGACTTCTAAAAGAGAATGAAGCACACACACAGTTGGGAGGACGCCAAAACCCAGATAAGCCTCGACAAAAATAATGCACGCTTTGCTTCCAGCAAGGTGCTGTGTGCAAACACCCTTTTTATATCCTCTTCTCCCAGCTGCAACTAATGAAAGGGATCAGGGCCCTTTTCTCTCCTGTAAGCTATGTTGCTCCCTTCTCCGGTCCTCCCTGCGTGCCCTAGGGTGAAGATGGGGTGGCCCTGGGTCTTCCTCTGAATGTCCAGCCAGACTGTGCCCATCCCCCGTTTCTTCCACAGCCACCGGAGCCACACTCCCACTCCCTGTCAGCTGCTCAATGTCCCCTTCAGACTCCAACAAGGGCATGTGACACTTAGTGTTATTTAAGTTTTATGATCACAGATGTCTTCTTAACAATTCTTTTCAAGCTCAAACCCTTCCTTTCTGTCCCCACCAGTAGTAAAATCTATTCCAAATTACACAATATTCCGATTCATCTTTATTTTTCCTCTCTAGGGTTAGCCTATCCATTTCAGTGCAAGTCAAAATTTTATTTATTATTTCATCTTCACTAGGAATTTCTTTCTCTTTCCACTTCTGGGCAAAAAAAAGTCTCACTTTTAACAACTTAAATTTGGGGCTCCCTTGTAGCTGTAAGTCTACCTGTAATTAAGAACTAGAATATATAAACCACACACACACACACACACACATCTTGCCGTGAAGGCTTTCCACAGATTAACCCATTGGGTCACCATGGTCTCTTTTAGCAAATGGCCAGTCTGGTGACGAGCCACATGGAAGCGTCCGGCACACGGTTTCTAAAGAAATGCAGCCCAACTAAGATCAAGAAGCTGGACAACGGACGGCTACGGGTGACGTGGAAATATGGGGACTCCGGCAAAGAAAAATCGGATGAGTTTGATACGGTGATGTGGGCAGTAGGTAAGGACCTACCTGTAATACCTGTAGAAAAGGGCTTCGCTCTGGACTGGATGAACACCTGTGAAGTCAGAGCTTGCTAACTTGTTTCTTTAAAAAAAATGTTTTTATTATATAGCAATAGCCCTTATATATATCACTTCACAGTGCTTTTACATCCTTCTCTAAGCACTTTACAGTGTCAGCCTATTGCCTCCCAACAATTTGGGCCCTCATTTTACCCACCTCAGAAGGATGGAAGGCTGAGAAAGGGAGAAAAGGAAGAAAAATAGCAATAGCCCGTAGACTTATATACCGCTTCACAGTGTTTAAAAAATGTTTTTATTATATAGCAATAGCCCGTAGACTTATATATCACTTCACAGTGTTTTACAGCCCTCTCTAAGCAGTTTACAGAGTCAGCCTCTTTTCCTCAACAATTTGGCTCCTCATTTTACCCACCTCGGAAGGAGGGAAGATGATAGATAGATAGATAGATAGATAGATAGATAGATAGATAGATAGATAGACAGATAGATGATAGATAGATAGATAGATAGATAGATAGATAGATAGATAGATAGATGATAGATAGATAGATAGATAGATAGATAGATAGATAGAATAATAGCTGGATTATAGATAGATGGATGGATGGATGGATGGATGGATAGATAGATAGATAGATAGATAGATAGATAGATAGATAGATGAAAGAACAAAAGGGAGATTTGGAAAATGAAGGGCAGAAATATAATAAACAATATGAAATAATGAAAATGAAATGTAATAATTGGGAACAATAATAATTATGCTTATTTGTATTAAAATGTATGACACCCAGGTATCACACCATTCACATATTGATATGTATAAAGAATACAAAATAAAACACTTCGCACACACACAAAACACACACACACACACACACACACACACACACACACAAAGAGCTTGCTAACTTGAATTTCAAATTGTGCTTTGGATGAATGATCTCATGGGTGTTTAATGACCACTTGAAGTTTACGATGACACTGGAAAAAGGGACTTAGGACCGTTTTCCCACACTTAACGACCGTTGCAGTATGATCATGTGATCAAAATTGGGGACACTTGGCAACTGACTCATATTTATGATGGTCGCCGTGTCCCCGGGGTGATCCCCTTTTGCGACCCTTTGACAACCAAAGACAATGGGGGAAGCCAGATTTGCCTAACAACCGTGCCAAAATTCAAGTTTGTAGGCTTTACGGTTCTGGAGATGTTGTGATGATGCGTGAGTAGTATTTCGCCTTTTTTATATATATAGATATAGATTGTTGAATTCATCCCAGTTTATTTTGGGTCGTGGACACTGTTGAGAAACTCGATGCATAGTGGATGAAGATTCAGACCAAGGGTTGTGTGGCTCAGTTCTCTTTGCACAAGCCATCTAGGTTTATTAGCTTTCCTCCAAATCGTTGGCTTGACTTGGTTCTATCCTAGCTGCCCCCACCAGCTGCAGGCGCCAGATGTCATAGCTTGGGAGATATGTGTCGGCTTACTTACTCATTCCCTGCAAAGCTACAGTCTTGAAGAGGCCTAGCTTACCCTGGAATGCAAACACAACCAATGTTTTCAGATTCCAACAGAGTCCAGGCCTTTTATTTTTACTCATTAGCAAGGAGTGTTTTGTTTTTTTCACTCCAGCCATGGGGGTGTTAAAACCAAGCAGTTTTCCCATCCCTGCTTGCTTCAAATCCAGAGCTAAAAGTCTAGGCACTCCACCCCAAGGGACTAAGGATTATGTCGGTTAAGGACCAAAGCTGCCTAATTGATGTGGGATTCACTCTTGGTTTTGTTTGCCTTGGTGTTTTCATTCTCTAGCCACACATCAACGGCCAGGTGTCTGCGAAACTGGGAAAGCACTTCCTGCCTCCAGATGTGTCCGTCACAAACCCATCAGTGAAAAGGGACAGCTTGCGGAGAGTAGTGGAGATAGGCCTCCTTAAGCCACTTAAACAACGAACCTCGGGAGCTGAAACAGGCTCTGTGAATTGCACGGAGATTTCGTAGTGTTACGGAATGCTGCCAGGCTGATTAGCTTCATGCTTTGTGCATTTGGAGAGAAGGGCTTGTTTTCAAGGAGCTACCACCCTGAACAGGTCTGAAGAGCATGCATGGAGGTGTCGGGCTGATTGATTGTATCACTGAAGGATCAATCACGTTCTATCAAGTTGGCGTCGACTCTTAGATGGATGATTCGTCCTCAGTTGGTCCAGCAGGCCTTCTAACAGTACCCCGTCAACTGTAATAAGTCCACGAATCATCATCACTATCTTTTAACGATCCCATAATCCCTTGCAGGGTGGAGTCTGGACAATGAAATGGAGCTGAGTGTTTACTGGCCAGATGCCCTTCCTGTTGCCAATGAGGAGTTTTGTTCAGCAGATATATTCTCATTGTGCCCAGAAGGAGAAATATCTGCCCTCTACCTAGGATCAAACTCACAGCTTTCTGATTGTGAAGTGAGAGCACTACCTCTAGGCCACCGCACCACTCCTCTATGAAGGCGAATATATGTTTCCCAGGACAACATTGCAGGGTCTAATCTGGGTTGGTCACTGGGACCAGAGGCTTTGTCTTCCGAGCTTTTGGACTCATGCTGGAGCTCCCATCTTCAAAGAACATCTCTCTAGCAGAGAATGTGCTGTTCTGTGTGTGTGTAATAGGTCCATCCATCTTGCTGGTCATCCTTCTCTCTCCTTCCTCTTTTCTAAGCATTACAGATTTCTCCAGAGAGCTGGTTCTTTCCCCTGATGGAGTGTCAACCCAGTGTCAAATTTAGGGTAGATTTTAGCATAGATTTTCTCTAACCTGATCCGTCAGGTTTGTTCCTTGGTTGTCTTCTTCGTTTGCCTTCCCCCTTTTCCAGCATCATGGACTTCTCAAGGGAGCTTGTCTTTCCATTGATGGAATGGCTGGTACCCTCAAGCCAATGTCAACTCTTGGTGACCACATAGATCAGAGGTCTCCAAACTGGCCAACTTTAAGACTTGTTGCCATGCCCCAGTTGGAATCTGATTCCAAGGGAGAGGTGGAACAGCTGACAGGGAGTGGGAATGTGGCTCCTGTGGCTGTGGAGGAAACTGGGGAAGGGCACAGGCCGGCTGGGCATTCAGAGGAAGACCCAGGGCCACCCCGTCTTCATCCTAGGGCATGCAGGGAGGAGCGGATAAGGGAGCAACATGGCTTACGGGAGAGGAAAGAGCCTTGATTTCCTTCATGGGCTGCAGCTGGGAAGACTGTTTAAAAGGGCAAACTGCGCATGGCAAAGATGCTGGAAGCAAAGTGTGCATTATCCTCGTTTTGGCGTCCTCCCAACTGTGGGTGCTGCGTTATCTTTTGGAAGTCTGCAATTTATCATCCTGGCCTGTTGTGTTAATTACTTCAGCGTGGTTTGTGTTGGTTTTTTTTATTTATCTTTACTTTGGGTTCGGACTGCATTTCTCCCCTTTGTAGACTGTTTTTGAAAGAGTTTGATCTCCAGCCAAGGATAACTGGACATTGGGGACCAAGTTGGAGGCATTAAAGGGAATTTATCTACTTTGGCGACTTTGTTATTTTTGTGCCACGCCCTGGGTCATCACACTTGTGGACTTCAACTCCCAGAATTCTTCTGCCAGCATAGCTGGAGGTTTCTTTATATGTATATAAAGAATGAAATATGTTAAGAAGGGGATTGTTATAATCATTAAATATATTATGTGTAGTAGTATGAAGTAAGGATGGAGTACTGATATTATAGTAATGAATATGTATCAATTGTAATGGATATTGCACAAGATATTTGTACCTAGAAGACACACTGTTTAAATGGATGATGGGTTGCTTGCATAAAATAAAATTAAAAAATGTAATTTAAAACAACAACAACAACCCAGAACAGTGGTAGGAAGTTGTTTCACATCCGAGCTGAGATAAGCTTTGTGATTATTTTTGGTGGCTAATAGCATCGAGGACAGAGAAAGGCAGAGCATCCTTTGCGCCGGCGGGCGGGGGGGGGGGGGGACAGATAGATAACAGGGTGCCGAAAGGACCCATCAATGCTTCCAAAGAAGTATCCATTCTCCGCCTGAAATGAATCCACAAAGGTCTCCGACCAGCCATTCAGATGGGACACTGTTGTTTTCTTTGGGAGTTTGGTTCTGAATGTGCCTGTGTGCCTGTGTAGACGCTAGCTTTTTTGACAGATGTGCTATCCGGCTGCGTTGTTTGTTTATTGATCGTACAATCCTCGGTCTCCCCTGGCTTAATAGTTTCCTGTGTTGACATCAAAGATCTCAAAACCTTGAGGACGCACACACACACACACACATCCCTATTGTTGTTGTTTTTTTCCAACACAAGCTAGTCACTCATTATGTGCAGGGGATCAGAGTTCCAAGTAATAACTCCATAGAAAGAGGCAGCTAAGTTCTTTCAAAGAATAATTTTATTCGCACAATACTGGAAAAACGAAGATGGAGAAGTATTTAAGAAGATACTTGATTGTGCAAGAAATGGGTAGATGGACATTGAAAATTAAGCAGAAAGTGGACGTAGAATATGATCAAACGTGAGGTTTATTTTACATTCGTAAGCCAAGAACTACCTGTATCACTTTTTACTTTGGTGCATGCAATCTGGAGTCACGTATGTGAGATGAGTGGTCATATAATTATATTTAAATAAATAAAATTTCCTTTGCAAAGCAAAGTTGCAAATGTAAACAGTTATTATTGTTGTTGTTCACCAACAACTACAGTGTGCACATCAAACGAGATAACCATGCTGGGTTTCGTATCACAAATCACTAGTTGAACACTTCCCGAGTGTTTAGGACTGTGTGATGTATCGGCGGATTATGCGGGCAGATCCCAGTAAGGTGGCCTTTCTACAGCTGACCAATGGAGATTTTGTCAGCGCCAATTGTTTTCAAGTGCTTGCCTAGGTCTTTAGGCACAGCACCCAGTGTGCCCAGTACCACTGGAGCCACCTGCAACTGGTCTATGCCAGAGTCTCTGCAGTTCGATTCTCAAGTCCTGATATCTGGTGACTTTTTCAAGTTGTTTCTCGTGGATTCTGCTGTCACCAGGTATGGCAATGTCGACGATCCACACTTTTTTCTTCTCCACAATTGTGATATCCGGGGTGTTGTGTTTCAAAACTTTGTCAGTCTGTATTCGGAAGTCCCACAGTAGTTTTGCATATTATTATTTAAAAAAAGAACGGACCATGGGAAATTAATTTAGAAAAGGGAAAGTCCTAAAATGACAAATAGTTAACCTAAATGGTTGGGGAAACCTTGGGGGTATTCATTCCTCCTTGATGCTTCTTCACAGTAGTTTTGCATGCTCATTTTCGACCACTTTCTCAGGCTTATGATCCCACCAGTTCTTTGCTACAGGCAGTTGCCACCTTGACCTGGCAAGGGGCTTAACTGCTCCAATGAAGCTGATATTACTATTAGTACTATTATTATTATTATTATTATTATTATTATTATTATTATTATTATTATTATTATTCCCTTATGAATTGCTTTCAGATTGATCCCATTTTCAGGTCTATCCTTTACTTTTTCCAAAAAAAAATATAGTCACTGTAATTTAGCATCGAATTGTCACCCCCACCAAAAAAAAGCAATTATAAGATTGGAGCAATACAATCTTGGCTAACAGATTTCAATCGATCAATCTCTTGATTTTGGTCATTGGTACAACCCTGGGTTGTACAGAATACAGGCAGGACATAAATCTCACAACAATAATATTAATTGTATATTTGCAGTGGCCGTCTATGGGATTGTCTCTCCCCACACATATAAATATACAAGTAATATTATTGGTGTGAGATTTATGTCCTGCCTGTATTCTGTACAATCCTGGGTACTGTAGATCATGTTTTTAGTTAGCCTTGACTTTGCCTGTGCTTAGGTCAAGTTAAGTTGAGTTCCAGATTGATGGGAAGCAATCGATTTTAATGGATGAATCCATCTCCCTTTAATTGTGTTAGTTTTAACGGGATGTGTTGTTTTTCTTTTGGAGTTTTGATTAATGGATTTTCAATGCTGCCCAGAGTCACAATGGACTTGGGCGGCCGTATAAATGTCTTAAATAAATAAACGTCTTGAATGGTGATATTATTGTAAAATTAGAAATAACAATCTATAGAGCCATTGGTAGTGATGTTACCGCTATTACTTTGTAAGTCATTCTGTTTCCTTCTTTTTCGTTGTGGTCTTGCTGAAACAAATAAGTGTGTAAAATTTGCAGTCTTGCAAACTTATCTGATTGCTGTTGGGGTTTAACCATAATTCTATCTCTCTCTGTCTCCTTCCTCTTCTCCTCCTCCACCTCCTCTTCCTCCTCCTTCTTTTCCTCCTCCTCCTCCTTCGCCTTCTACTTTCCTCTTCGTCCTCTTCCTGCTTCTCTTCCTTCTCTTCCTCTTCCTTCTCTGCCTTTTTCTACTCCTCTTCCTGCTTCTCCTTCTTCTACTCCTCCTCCTTCGTTGTCTTCTCCTTCTACTCCTCTTCCTCCTTCTTCTACTCCTCTTCCTCCTTCTCTGCCTTCTTCTACTCCTCTTCCTCTTCTTCCTCCTCCTCCTTTTAACGCCTTCTCTTCCTCCTCCTCTTCCACCTCTTCTTCCTCATTCTACCCCTTTTCCACCTCTTCCTCCTCCTCCTCTTTTCCTCCTCCTCCCTCCCTGTTCCCTTCCTCTTCTCCTTTCCTCTCCTTTCTGCTTTCCTTCCCTAAAGGCCGCGCTCCAGACACTGCAGCCCTTAAACTGGATCGTGTGGGTGTGAAAACCAATCCGGAAACGGGGAAAATTATCGTCGATTCAGCTGAAGTTACTTCGATCCCCCATATCTTCGCAATCGGGGACATCACGGAGGTATAAACGCTTTGAACGGCCCAGGAAATTTTCCTTAAGAGAGAGTGAGATCACCAGGGACTCCACAGTCCAACGCTTCTCTTCTGTTAAAAGAGACATTTCTCTTTTAATCTTCTCATTAATCTTCTCTTCTGTTAAAACCTATTTATACCACAGACAGGAACGATATTGGAGGGATCATAACAAGGCATATATCAGGTTGTCGCTGACACATGACGTGGATTGACCTGAACCCATGTTGCAATGTTTGCCTAAGGCCATTGTCAGAACGAGGGCTATCCTTTTTGCCTTCCCTCCGTAGGGGCAGGTGTTTGTTTTTTTTAAGAATCATCTTTTAATGAACCCATAATCCCTTGCAGGGTGGAGTCTAGGCAACTGAATGGAGCTAGCGGAGTGTTTTAAATGGCCAGATGCCCTTCCTGTCACCGATGCGGAGTTTTGTTCAGCAGATATATTTTCAGTATGGCCAGAAAACAAAATATCTGCCTCTACCTAGGATCAATTACCTAGTATTTATTATTATTATTATTATTATTATTATTATTATTATTATTATTATT